TATATATGTGTGTCCACAATATAAATTAATATTTTAATAAATAATAATACGAACTACATTCACAGGACTGATAAAATCGATTGATTATTTTGAATTATAATAATATTAATTATTTTATATAGTAACGTTCTCCTTTGTTTTGTACATGTCGTGTGCACAGCATGCTACACTACCGTTAAATTGAGGATACAAAAACAACATGCAATCTTCAAAATGTGCGCTACATATTCTTCTTTTTGTAACCGTTTCCCGGTTTAAGATTCCTAATTCTTTTCTTCCCATCTGTTGAGAATTCGTATTCATTTCATTCATTTAGTCGTGAGTATTGGGTTGCCTACCGAGCAGGGGCGTCAGTGCTGTAATGAGCGGCTCTTAAGCTGCGTTCCCACGGAGCGTGAAAACGAACGTGTATCACGCTTTCGTACTTGCTTTCGTGTATGTGCTGGAAGGACCCTACCAGGCGTGGAGTGTGGACCGTTCACACTGACTTTCGTATTAACGAAAACGTGATTCACTTGATCGCGAAAAATCGACCATGAACGAGCTGCTTATCGAGACTTGTGCTGTGGTCAGTTCGGTTTTTGGTGCTATCTTAGCACAAAGAATAAATCGGTTGGCAAAATCGAAAGAAAAACGGAAGAAAAGACGATGGTGGGTTAGAAAGTGGATACTTCAAAGAAAATCGGGGACACATAATTTGGTTGACGGAGAGCTAAGAAGTAATTACACTGAGGATTTTAAAAACTTGTTACGAATGTCTGAAGCCGAGTTTGATTACCTTCTGGAACGCGTTTCACCACTGATTTCAAAATCAGATACAAATATGAGACAAGCAGTAAATGCTAAAACAAAACTTACGGTGACTTTGCGATATTTAGCCACAGGAGACTCTTTCAAAAGTTTGGAATTTTTATTTCGTGTTCCAAAAAACACAATTAGTAAATTCATACCCGAGACCTGCGAAGCTATCCACAAGACACTTAGAGAATTTATACAAGTAAGTAAATTAAAGCACATTTTTTCTTATTTTACGTATTTTATTATAGTAGGTAAAGGTAACTAACAAATAAAGTATTTTTTGTATTTTTATTAGGACTACTTAGCTCGACTTATAACTTTGTAAAAAAAAATTCTTCAGAAAAACCACTCATGTTTGACTCTGTTCCACTTGTTAGGTCTGCTGACTGATTGGATGGAGTTGGTGGTGGGCACATTGCATTAATTATGAAAGAAGTAATTGTTTCTTGAAGTCTCATAGCGGTTGGAGGTCCAATACTACGTAACATTGACGCAACATATTTACCGAAATGATCATAGGTATCTTCTTTCGTAATTAGTGCAGCACGATTTGAAATATTTTCTAATTTTTCAATGGCACCAGACATGAAAGTTATTTGGGGGTCGAGCAAAGCTTTTTTGTTTGATGATGATGGCTGGGACACAGTCGAAGGCATTTGTCGTTTAACTGTTCTTCTGGGTGCCTCAGTTCCTGCTGTGATTTGTGGTGTGGATGACACTTTCTCGTTGAGATGGTCAACAGAACTTTGATGTTGAGATGGTGATTGTGACTCGTCCAGTTTTGCCTGTTCCTGTTGAGATTCCTCAGTTACCGTTGTTGGTAATAGCTACAGTAAAAACATTAATTAGTAATTTATTTCAGGTGCCGGCAACTTCAGATGAATGGAAAAACGTTGAATCTGGATTTAGGCAACGATGGAATTTCCCAGGATGTGTAGGAGCTTTGGACGGCAAACACATTGTAATACGTGCCCCTACCGCTACTGGATCCGATTATTACAATTACAAAAATAGTTTCAGTATTGTATTAATGGCTTTAGCCGACTCCGATTATTGCTTTCTGTATGTTGATGTTGGCGCTAAAGGAAGAGGTTCTGATGGAGGCATATTCCAAAACAGCTCGTTATACAAAGCTTTCGAAACAAACTACTTTGCAATGCCAAATGATTTTTTGATTGTTGGAGATGATGCGTTTCCCTTAAAAACGTATTTGATGAAACCGTATAGTCGGCGTAACATGTCCCAAGAAGAAAGAATTTATAACTATCGACTTTCAAGGGCACGAAGAGTAGTAGAAAATACTTTCGGCATACTTGTGAGTAAATTCAGAGTGTTTGAAAAAGCGATATCTCTAAAATTACAATCGGTGGAGAAAATAGTACTCGCCTGCTGCACTTTGCACAATTGGTTGAGGAAAACAAATCCTACCTACATCTCAAGAGGTTTAATTGATTATGAGGACGAAAATCATGGTATATTCCCTGGATCATGGCGCCAAGAAAACATTTCTGGCTTACAGAATCTTCCGCCAACTGCGCAGAGACATCCACAACGACAGGCACAACAAATTCGCGATAAGTACCGCGATTATTTCAATAATGAAGGAACCGTACCCTGGCAAAGGCAACTACTGAATGATATGCCAAATGCAGAACTGTAGAGTACGTCAGTCTCAACATTGATTGTGTTAAATTGCCTTGCACAATATCAGCTTCAAATGCCATTCTGTTTCAATGTACTTAATTATAAGGTAGTTCATACATAGCAATATATTATTAATATATATTATTATGTAATCAAAGTACCAATGGGAAAATAAATGCGGTTTTTTGAACTAGAATATGATTTTTTATTACACTTACCAGATTTGATTGTGTGGGTCGTTGCTGAACGAATGGGCGAATGAAAGAGTTCATCAGCTCAAACCAGATAATTTTTGGCCTGTAAATGTCGTCAGTTCCGGCTCCAGACCGCTCACTGTCGGCTATTTTTTTCAATTCTTGACAATAGGAACTCCTTAAGTTTTTAAATTTTGATATTATTCTTTTTCTTTTATAAAGTCGTAATATTTAGATTTGATTTCATGCCTATTAATAATATGCAATCTGCAAAAATTGCATTCAAATATGTTTAAAAGTTTTTTTGCAATGAAACCGGCAATATAGCCAATTGCTGCATTATCAATTGGTCCACCAATAACAATTTCTCTTCTATATATACATTGGTTTACAGCCTTAACTCTCTACAATTTCTACACTCATGCTCGGTTCCTTGCTGGTCATAACAAATTGCCGTAATTGTAACAATGAGGAATCATAGTCCTCTTCACAGTTTGCCCCCACCGAATGTGTACTCACTATCTTCCTCACCAACAACGTTTTAAATGTTTCCCCAAATTGTTTTGCAGTTGGGTTATTGTTTCGGACTCTGTGTTGCCGCACCTGTCCGAAATAATTTTCGAGTGGATCTTGGTTTAATGTACGGGGAAAATAATAGGTTAATATTCTTATTAATATAATAATTAATATTCAATATACATTTTTTTAAACTGGGAGGTACCGCTTTTTCCGTGGACCCCTCTTTTCGAAAATACATTTTTTGAAGCATATCTATAAAATATATAATTGAATTAAAATATATCGATAATTATTATCAAAGAGAAATCTTATTCATAATACTGTTTACTGTTTTGCATAATACGCTAATGTGTAATAATTACCTCTTGACTCGTTCCAAAATGTAATATGGTTCGATTTTTGGGAAACGGCACCACGGAGGAGTTTACCAGGAGGTGGTCTACGGCATCCTCTATTAAGGCTGTCAAACAGTCCATCAAAAAATTTTAATATGCTTGCTGTGTCATGTGCGCGTGTTTCCATTATTATTTCGACCGTAACACCAGTGGCGTCTAAAAAATACATACTTATTAAAAAAGAGGGTTAAAAAATAATTTATTTTAATTTATAATAGGTTTGTCCCAACAGGCGACAAAACAGTTCTAGAACTGTACTGCGCATGCGCATTAAATAAAAACAGTCCCAACTGGTACGGAACAGTTTCGAAATAGTTCGGAAATATGTCCCAACTTACAACGGAACGATGTCGAAACCGTTCGTGAACGGTATTTTCAGTACCTACTCGGTAGGAAGTACTAATAGTTCAGTCCCAGTACTGTCATGCGCTGTCAACTTGTCTGCATTTATTTGACGTGACAATAAACGCTGATACAAATTAATTTGGCGAAGTTTCGATTTGTTGTGTTCGAAAATGAGCGATATCGGGGATTTTAGTGATTTTAGTAGCGGAGAAGAATCAAGTGATAGCGAATTGGAAACAATTCCGGAACCAAAAATAAAAAATATGAATTTTCTAGGTAAAGATTTTATTCAGAAATTTTCAATTAGTTAATCATTTGATCTCTCTTACAATTACTATAGATGAAACCGTTGATAGGTACGATGACCAATCTTTTTTTACCCATTTTCGATTATCAAGAGGTTTGATAAATGAGTTATCGGAAAAATATAAATTGAGCAATAATAAATTGGCCAATATGGGAATATATCTCCTCGTCATCAAGTAAAGACATATGTAAAGTGTACATAAAATATACAAAAATATTTTTTAGATTCTCATATACTTATGGTATATGGGACACCAAACATCCAGTTTTCGAGATGTCGCTGATCGTTTTGATGTGACCATAAGTACTCTTGGGCGCATTATAAAAAAGGTTACAATGTTTTTAAGTAATTTAGCTCCAGAGATAATCAAATGGCCAAATGATGATGAGAAAAAAGTTATAGAAGGACATTTTAGGGAGAATGGGTTTCCAAATATTATTGGGGCCATAGATGGGTCTCACATTCGGATTGATAAACCAACAAATGACCCTGAATCCTATTTTAATAGAAAACATTTCTACTCTGTACAAGTAAGAACTCATTATATTTTTACAATTATTTCTTTACTTAGTTCTTTCTCTGTTTTAGATGCAACTGGTTTGTGATCACCAAAACAAAATTATTGATTTGTACGTAGGGTACCCTGGTTCGGTCCACGACAGCAGGGTATTTCGAAACTCCCCATTAGGTAATCACTTAGAGAGGTTATGTGGTCGATACCATATACTTGCAGATAGTGGCTACCCATTAAAAATGAATATGTTAACACCATATAAAGACAGAGGAAACTTAACCAGGAATCAGCGCCGATACAATGTTATCTTATCTAAAAATCGTTATGTGTTAGAGCATTGTTTTGGCATCTTGAAACAACAGTTTCATCAATTATACCACCTAAAACTCAGAAGCATTCCTTTAGTAATTCATTTCATAAGGGCATCATGTGTATTGCACAATGTGGCACTATCAGATAACTTTGAACCTGAACAAGCTGTTGATCCAGAAGTTGCACCAATACAAGTGGATGTTGAAGAGGATGATGAAGATGAGGACTTTGTAGATTTTATAATTAATGATTATTTTTCCAAAAAGTTCGTTTGTAAATATTTATTTAAATAAATATTACATACCTAAACACAATAATTATTACAAATAATTAAACTATAAAAATTAAATATTTTCCCATTGTTAAACCTAAAAACAGAACAAGTACTTAGATAAAAAACAATTTGTTTTTAGAAAAGACTTACCTAACTCTAATGCTAAATTCTCTGTTTTTAGAAGAGAAGCTTTTTTAACGACATCTATTCTTCTAACACACAATAAAAAAATTTTTCTTTTAATATGTTATTCCTTTTTTCTATTAAATTATTTCTTCTTTTTATTTCTTCTAATTTGTTTCTTTCTGTTTCAAGCTTCTCTTCATAGTATTTCTTTTTATCTCTTCGTAACATTTCAATTTGAGAATTTTTCCTTTTCCTTCCCGGACGTTTATCAATGGGAAGTGGATTTTCTATAGGTTGTTCAACTTCTCTTAAATTTTCAATCTCTCCTATTTCTGTATTTTCTGTTTCCACATCAGGAATGATGTGAATATCATTATTAACCCCTTACGGGGTTTACTGCCCTTTTTTTCCAAATATCTTTTCCATCTCTTCTATGTAATCATAGTATTTTTTTCCTCTACCTGTTGATCTTTCATTATCTCTGTACTTTTTGTATATTCTTTCAACAACCTTCCACCTATTCTGGCAGTGTTGTTCATTCATCCTCGAATTTGTTCCTTCTCTTACTTTTTCAGATACTTTTTTCCACAATTCTTTTTTTTGATTTCCTCNTAAATGCAAATTTATAATAGTATATTTGTGACATTTAAAATTCGCTATCGCTCGCAATAGCGCTCGTTCTCGAATGTAAAAGTTTCATTTCACTATCTTATATCAAAAATAAAAATTTTCACTTTCCTGCGAGATCAGTATACGCCGGCTGTAAACCTGGGTCTTTTGTGTTCGCTACAGATTTAACCTGTTAACAACAACTGTACAACAGAAAATGAAAACTTTAACCTTGTGCGTTCATCACCTATCACACATTACCTTTTTTTAGGTGGGGGTCCGAACTATGTCTATTCACTTCTTAGAAAATTATTTGCCTAAACAGTTGTAGCTCGGACACGAAATACCCAGGTTTACAGACGAAGGGTTAAATATGGTTTGGTCGTGACACGAATAACGATATTCGGTACAATATTCCGAATTTTTAAACGTGCGTCAGAAACTGTCTGCACATTTAGTGCAAAGAAACCTTTTCAAACCGTTTCTTTACAATCCTACATGCTGAGGCTTTCGATACTCCAATAAAATCCGCTACAGAAAGGAGCATATTCCCCGTTGCATAGAACCTTAGGGTTAACAATAGTCTATGCATTGCTGGTAGAGAGCTCCCTCTAAAGAAAAATGCAAAGTATAAATATACTGAATATATTTTGGTTATATAATACAACTTACTTGGTTCAGGGAAGCGATATTGCGTCTTCTATCTATGCCAATAACGAACTACCGTATGTTTTGTTAGTCGAAACCTTTCAAAAAATTCAGTTTCATTATATTGTTGGAAACAATCCACTCTCATCTTGTAAACTTTACGTCTTCTAAGTACAAGTACAGGTTCATCTTCCGAAGATGAACTTGAACTCGTATCCNTAAAGTAGGCGTTATCTACAATACCGACCGACCCGATCCCTAAATGTGTTCGTACCCGTCCCAACACACAGCAGTTCTAGAACTATACTTTTACCGCGCATGCGCGCTAGAAAATTTTATATAGTTCTGGAACTATAACCGAACGATTCAATTTGTCGTGTTCGAACAAACCTAATGTAAATTGTTACATACTTGTTTTGGACATGTACGCTATAGCGGCAGCTGTTGTGTGGCTGAAAACCTGGGCAGCACAGGACACTTTCATTTTATTTAGTCGAATATGAAAATCCGTAATTTTAGGTAATAACCTAAATTGGCCGCTACCAGAGTCTATATCATAGGCTTTTTCGACAATACTCCACTTGGCGGTTAATAGTTGCCCATCTTTCTCCCATACCAGGTTTTTCTTCAGTAAATTATTTCGTATACCTTTTAAAAGGTGGGATGTGTCATATAACGGAATGATTTCATTCCAATATTTATTCTTCTTTTCGGGATTGCATTATTTCTTAACTATTTAAATCGGGCTTCTCCGATGAGACCTACAACAATAAAAAATATAACTAGGGTATTATACATAATATTTCTTTAAGTTCTTACCTTTTATTGCAGTCCTATTTGTGGACACCTGGTCACACACTGTCGCTATAACTGTCAAATTTGAATCATTTAATTTCACTATGATTTCTTTTAAATATTTTTTTAATTCTTCAGTCTTTGTCGTTCCTTTACAAAAAATACGCAATTGTTTGCTTCTAGTGATGGGACGGTATTTGAGGAACGGTATTTTGGAGCGGTATTTTTGAGGAGCGTACCGCTTCCACGCGATTTTAAAATACCCGTTACAGAACGTTACTAANTTGAGTGAAATGAACAGATATATAATCAGCGTCACATAACTGTCACATGCAGTGACTTTTGTTTGT